TTTACTATTAAGGAATTGAGGGGAAGTTGCCTCAGTAGAAGCACAGAAAGCATTACAACCATTCAGAGATTCTATCTGCTCCGCTCTCATGTTAAATGTTCAGTAGAAAATGAGTACTAAAATAAATAGCCAAAATGTCACTCTTGAAGTACAGTATGTTAAAATGTAAGCCATACAGAAATGTCTCTATAAAGAGTTTCTGCCAAATGCAGAACCACATTCAAGGATTGTTTTATGCTTAGGATGCATATAATTTTTTTTCTACTTGCTAATTAACACTTTCCAATTACAGAAAGACATGCTGTAAAACGAATGGCAGAATCATGCACATACTAATTATAACAATTTATCTAATTATTTTTAATTAATAAAATGAGGGCTCATTATGTGAAATATTATAAAGTCAGTCTACCCCAGCCTAATACATTGCATTGTGGTAAGTGAAAGGGCAGAGCTCATGATCTGTTTTTTCTAATTGACCTTGCTCAGGTTTAAAAGCACCCTGGTAGCTTAGAAGAGGGTTCAGGAGAAAAACAGTCATATACTGGTACACTATATTGCCAAAAGTATTGGGACAGCTGCCTTTACATGCACATGAACTTTAATGGCACCCCAGTCTTAGTTCGTAGGGTTCAACATTGAGTTGGCCCTCCCTTTGCAGCTCTAACAGCTTCAACTCTTCTGGGAAGGATTTCCACAAGGTTTAGGAGTGTCTATGGAAATATTTGACCATTTTTCCAGAAGCACATTTGTGAGGTCAGGCACTGATGTTGGACGAGAAGGCCTGGCTCGCAGTCTTCACTGTAATTCATCTGAAAGGTGTTCTGTTGGGTTGAGGTCAGGCTGTCTACAAGCTTTAGGAGCGTGTCTATGGGAATGTTTGCAGGGAAAGAGGATGAACACCGCTCATACCCATCCGTAGGAGTCCTGTAAAGACACTGTAATGTAGAGGTTCTCAGCCGTCACTCCGGCCACACCCTCTGACACATTTCAGCCTGCCCATAGGGGGCTTGGTCACAGAGGCTCTGTGACCAAGCCCCCTATGGGCAGGGTGAAACACATCAGAGGTTGTGGCCGGAGTGATGGCTGAGGCCATCCACATTACAGTGTCCTTTACAGGACTCCTTGGGATGGATATGAGCGTCCATCCTCTTTCCCTATACACTGCTTAGTTTCTGGTATAACTTGGGATGCTGCTCCCCTTTTCCCTGGCGGCATGGTGATCATGCTTTGAGCTACGCCATATGTTTGCTCTATGGGAATGTTTGACCACTCTTCCAGAAGCGCATTTGTGAGGTCAGGCACTGATGTCGGACAAGAAGCCCTGGCTCGAAGTCTCTGCTCTAAATCATCCCAAAGGTGCTCTGTTGAGGACAGGACTCTGTGCAGGCCAGTCAAGTTCCTCCACCCCAAACTCGCTCACTCATGTCTTTATGGACCTTGCTTTGTGCACTGGTGCGCAGTTATGATGGAACAGGAAGGGGCCATCCCCAAACTCTTCCCACAAAGTTGGGAGCAGGAAATTGTCCAAAATATCTTCGTATGCTTACGCCTTAAGAGTTCCCTTTACTGGAACTAAGAAGCCAAGCCCAACCCCTGGAAAACAACCCTACACCATAATCCCCCCCAAAATCCACCAAATTTTACATTTGGCACAATGCAGTCAGGCTAGTACTGTTCTCCTGGCAACTGGCAAACCTAGACACGTCCATCAGATTGCCAGCCAGAGGCATTATTCGTCACTACAGAGAACACACTTGATTTTATACACCTGTGGCCATGGAGGTGATTGGAACACCTGAATTCAATGATTTGGAGGGGTGTCTCAATACTTTTGGCAATATAGTGTACCTTCTGGTGCCTGGTTATAATTTTTTTTTTTTTGTTTAATCAAGATTTTTGCATGACTGACTGATCACTAATTGGCAGCTGTGATAATCTGAATCACTACTCTTCACTTATTATTATAGCACAGCCTTGCCTCTCAAGGACTTGATTAACACAACAGTTTGTTCAGTTTTCCCTACTTAATCAGTCAGGTCAGTTTTCAACAAAAAGCTCAGACAACAAACTGGTTAGCCTGCATGGGGGCCTTACAGTGCAACACTGAGCTAACATATCTGCTTTTGTCTCCTCTGGTTCCTCCCTCCTCATCAACATGGTGATGGAATTATTTAAAAAATTATTTCAGTTTTCATTACATATGTAGCACTACCCCCTTGGGAGTCACTGAATATTTGGGTCCCCCTGTAGTCCTACACAGCCAGACTTACATCCAGGAGACAGCAACCAGTCCATGTGCTTGGATTTTTTGGGGACTTTATTAGGGGAATTGAACTTGGATGGGGTAAGGGGGGGTGTATGTGATGCCCAAAAGGAATGACAACTGAGGACAATCTTCCCGGAACTATGTACAAGTTTCTTTAAACAGCAAAAATTATCTTCTGGAGAGCTAACAAGCGTCTCCTGGTGTACCACCCCAGATACTCCTTTATCCAGCTGTACTGGGTGAATCCCTGGGCAGGGGATCCAGTGCCTGTCATTTTAAATAGAAAACAGTCCCAGGTAGCACGCCAATCTAGTTTCCAGCCAGAGTGCCACCCCCCGCCTCTGGCCAGAGTGTTCAGGTCCACTCACCCCCAGTCCTCCGTCCGTGAGCCGATGGGTTGGTGGCCGCTCTCAGGCCTTCTGCTGGGCCACTCCCTCCCCTCTCCACAGATTGTCCTCCCTCTCCTCTCCACAGATGGTCCTCCCTCTGGGGGCCGATGCCCCCTCATGCTGAGCCTTCATGATTGAATGCACTGAAATCCAATGAATTAAAAGAGTGGGTCAAGGACAGTAAAGCTGGGTAGGAAAGAGCTAGATGATGCTGGGCATCCTCCAACCAACTGAGGTAGGCTTTATCAGATGTGCTGCAGCTTCTAATGCACATTGTGAGAAACATACAGTGAATTAGAGTAAGCCATTACAGTACAGGAGAGAGGAATCGGTTTGAATGTAAAAATGTTTTCAGGGGTTTTTTTACTTGTATTTTCTTCTTGTTCTCAGTAAAACACTATCATGTTTCTTTTATTCACGTTTCTTCACTTTGTGCACTCCTTGTTCCTCACACTTTCTAAAATAAATTGCTGATTCAACTGCCATCGTTGTACGCCCAGTAGTTTGTATGCACTCAGAAAAGGTAGTGTTCATGTTTTCCCTAACCTGGTGCAACTGCTAGTCTAAAAAGTTTCTTTTTAAGATAGGCACTGTTCATATGACCCTAGATTTAATAAGAGTACAGTAGGTGCTGAACCACATCAGGACTTAATATTACAAGTATTTTGTACATATATTTGCAATAGGAATTACCAGCAATGCCACACTAGCATCCACTAGTACTGTAGTATATCAGACTCACCAATCAGCCATAACTTTATGAACCCCCCCCCCCCCCCCACCGAATGTTGAGTCGATCCCCTTTTTGCCATCAAAACAGCCCTGACCCGTTGAAGCATGGTCTCCAGAGAGACATCAACATAAGTGACAGGACCCAAAGTTTCACAGCAGAACATTGCCCAAAGCATCACACTGTCTCTGGTGGCTTGCCTGCTTCCCATACTGCATCCTGGTGACATCTCTTCCTCAGGTAAGCGTGCACACACACCCAGCGATCAACCCGATTTAAATGAAAACATGATTCATTAGACCAGGTCACCTTCTTCCATTGCTCCATGGTCTGGTTCTTATGCTCACATGCCCATTGTAGGCATTTTTGGCTGTGGACATGGGTCAGCTTGGACTCCCTAACTGGTCTACAGCTGCACAGCTCCATACACAATAAACTGTGATGCACGGTGTGTTCTGACACCTTTCTATGAGAACCAGCATTAACCACCAGTTTGAGCTACAGTAGCTCTTCAAGATCGGGCAGTACGGGTCCGCCTTCGCTCCCTATGTACATCAGTGAGCCTTGGCCTCCCCAAAACCCTGTCATCTGTTTTTCACTGTCTCTTCCTTGGACCACTTTTGGTAGACCCTGACCACTGCAGACTGGGAACATCCCACAAGAGCTGCAGTTTTGGAGTTGTTCTGACCCAGTCCTCTGACCATTACAATTTGGTCCTTGTCAAAGTCTCTCGAATCCTTGTGCATTGTTTTGCTTTCAACACATCAACGTCTTCAGGGATAACATGTTCATTTGCTACCTAAATACCACCAACTTTCAGATGTCATTATATATAGAAAGTATAAAGGTATTGCAAGCATCTACTATATGATTTTGATCAATAAAAAATTACTGTACCAGCAGTATGATTTTGCTCATCTTTTGTATACATTAGTTTATTTTCAAATTGTTAAAAGTTCATAAATGTTTAAAGAATATCATGATTTATTATGAAAGCTTGCTTCCTTAATAACTTAAAGTGGTTATAAAGGCTCAAGGTTTTTTTTACCTTCATGCATTCTATTCCTGAAGATAAAAAACATGTGTGCCCCCTTAATACTTATCTGAGCCCCATCGCGATCCATCAATGTGCACAAGAGCCTTGGCTCTCCGGGGACTCTCCCTCCTCATTGGCTGAGACAGCTGCGGGAGCCAATGGCTGCCGCTGCTGTTGATCACAGCCAGTGAGGAGAGAGAGGGACAGAGCAGGACCATAGCACTCTGTGTGAATGGACACATGGAGCTGCAGCTCGAGGACGAGCGTGCTTGGTTGCCCCCATAGCAAGCTGCTTGCTCTGGGGGCACTAGGAAGGAGGGAGGGGCCAGGAGTGCCAGCAAGGGACCCAAGAAGAGGATCAGGGCTGCTTTGTGCAAAACCACTGCACAGAGCAGGTAAGTATGACATGTTTGTTTGTTTGTTTTAAATTGCCTTTAATATCACTTTGGGTTAGCCAATAAAGGGCAGCACTTTAACTCCAAACTTTCTACATTAATTGATGGCTGACATTGTGCAATTCTCTACTACTGTGTGAAATTTGTGTACATTTATAATGTATTTGTATTTATTTTTCAGCTTAATCTTGTTGTTTCCCAGAGGAGAAAAGCTGCTCACAAACTGGACTTGGGAAATATCTAAAAATATCTGTACATCGGATATAATTGGGATTATATATAACCTGCAGTGCCAGCGAGGAGGAACATAAAATTGATGGCTTCTTATCTGCAGCTCCATGGACAGCGATAAACACTCACACTTGAAATAGGGATGTTTTCAGTTTTAATGGAGATTTAAGATTTGATAGTTTTTTTTTTACTCAAAATTGCTTATGTTAAAATATGTTTTTTGTTTTTAAATTAAGCAAATTTATTAACAGTTTGTGCACTCATGTAATAAAATATATTAAAAAGAATATTTTTTTATACATAGAGAAATGCATTCTGCCTTTGTTTTTACTTGTAGCTTTCACAACAATTAGATTAATTATCCTTCTATAAAGCACCATCATATTAGTATTCTTTTTAATAGAATATGAAGTAAAATAATTCATAAAGAATAAAAGGGGAAAAACAGGAGGTTTGAGGGTTCTACTCATTAGAGATTATATACTGTACATAGTAAGGATGCGGATGCTGATTAGCTGCTAATGCTCAAGGCTTCACATTCTGGGATGAGAACTAGAGCATCTGCTTCACTGTCAAGATGTGGACACAAAAGAAAACCTGTAGTGAGAAACCAGGCTTCAATTGCTGACATCTCCTAAAAATGCAAGTTGTCACACTGATTCTGTGGTTTTAAGTGCTTTCTAAAGGACAGACTTGGAACACCTATGCAGGTCAAGCGCTCTGACATTCTAACCTACATGCTTTTGCCTGCGGTCACCCTTCAACAAAGTGCTTTCTAAAGGACAGACTTGGAACACCTATGCAGGTCAAGAGCTCTGACATTCTAACCTACATGCTTTTGCCTGTGGTCACCCTGCACCAAATCTTTTCCCCTAGGCTGGCTTACCATGCCATGTTTTTCACTGTGTCTGTGTAGAAATGACTATCATTCTAGAGGCAGAGCTTTATCTTCTAATGTGACAGCCTCCAAGAAGGAGAATGGTGGGCAGAGAAATTCAAGACAAAAGGTAGATGTTTCAAGTTACTGCTTAAACACAATTAGCATTCCTATATGCCCCCAAAACATGGCAAATTCTCACTTTCTGTGTTATTTCAACTTTAAGCTGAATATGCATTGCATTCTAATTTTATACAGTGCCTAGAAAAAGTATTCATAACCCTTGAAATTTTCCACATTTTGTCATGTTACAACCAAAAATGTAAATGTATTTTACTGGGATTTCATGTGATAGACTAACACAAAGTGATACATAATTGTGAAGTGGAAGAAAAATGATAACTTGTTTTCAAAAATTTTTTACAAATAAATATCTGAAAAGTGTGGCATGCATTTGTATTCAGCCCCCTTTACTCTGATACCCCTAACTAAAATCTAGTGGAAGCAGTTGCCTTCAGAAGTCACCTAATTAGTAAATAGAGTCCACCTGTGTGTAATTTAATCTCAGTATAAAGACAGCTGTTCTGTGAAGCCCTCAGAGCTGTGTTAGAGAACATTAGTAAACGAACAGCATCATGAAGGCCAAGAACACACCAGACAGGTCAGGGATAAAGTTGTGGATACGTTTAAAGCAGGGTTAGGTTATAGAAAAAAAATATCCTAAGCTTTGAACTTCTCACACAGCACTGTTCAATCCATCATCCGAAAATGGAAAGAGTATGGCACAACTGCAAACCTACCGTCCACCTATATTGACAGGCCGGGCAAGGAGAGTATTAATCAGAGAAGCAGCCAAGAGGCCCATGGTAACTCTGGAGGAACTGCAGATCCACAGCTCAAGTGGGAGAATCTGTCTACAGGACAACTATTAGTCGTGCATTCCACAAATCTGGCCTTAATGGAAGAGTGGCAAGAAAAAAGCCATTGTTGAAAGAAAGCCATAACAAGTCCTGCTTTCAATTTGCGAGAAGCCATGTGGGGGACGCCACAAACATGTGGATGAAGGTGCTCTGGTCAGGTGAGACCAAAATTGAACTTTTTGGCCTAGAAGCAAAACTGTAAAATATGGTGGTGACAGCATCATGTTGTGGGGATGCTTTTCTTAAGCAGAGACAGGGAAGCTGGTCAGAGTTGATGGAAAGATGGATGGAGCCAAATACAGGGCAATCTTAGAAGAAAACCTGTTAGAGTCTGCAAAAGACTTGAGAGAGGCGGAGGTTCACCTTCCAGCAGGACAATGACCCTAAACATACAACCAGAGCTACAATGGAATGGTTTAGATCAAGTCCAGACCTAAATCTGGGGCAAGACTTGAAATTTGCTGTTCACACATGCTCTCCATCCAATCTGACAGAGCTTCAGCTATTTTGCAAAAAAGATTGGGCAAAAATTTCACTCTCTAGATGTGCAAAGCTGGTAGAGACATATCCAAAAAGACTTGCAGGTGTAATTGCACTAAAAGGTGATTCTACAAAATATTGACTCTGGGGGGGCTGAATACAAATGCACACCACACTTTTCAGATATTTATTTGTAAAACATTTTGAAAACCATTGTTGTTTTCCTTCCACTTCACACGTATGTGCCACTTTGTGTTGGTCTATCCCATAAAATCCCAATAAAATACATTTACGTTTTTGGTTGTAACATGACAAAATGTGGAAAATTTCCTTAACCATTTGCCCTCCAGAGGATTTACCCCCCTTTCTGACCAGGCCATTTTTTGCGTTACAGCGCTGTGTTACTTTAACTGACAATTGCATGGTCATGCAACACTGCACCCAAATTAAATTTCCATAATTTTACCCACAGATAGAGCTTTCTTTTGGTGGTATTTGATCGTCTGTGCATTTTTTATTTTTGTGCGTTATAAACAAAAAAAAAGACAATTTTGGAAAAAAAAACAATATTTTTGACTTTTTGCTATTAACCGCTTCCCGACCACCCTATAGCAGAAATACTGCTACAGGGCGGCACGAGTGCGCAAAATCACGTATATATACATGATTTTACATTTCCGTGTAGGGGGCACATGTGAGCCACATGTGCACCCTACCCGTGCTGTCAATCACCGGGTCCCGGCCGGTGATTACCGACAATCATCAACGGGGAGGACGGCTGCTATGTTTACTAACAGTCCTCCTCCCGGTCAGCTCGGGCACACTGCTGTGGCTGGCCATGCACAGCCATCCAGAGCAGTGTACTTACACTCCCCTAGTATAACACTCCCAGCACACAGTTAACCATTTGATCACCTCTTTCTATTAGCACTGATCACTGTATTGGTGTCAGTGACACTAAGTCAGTTCCCCCCCCCGTGCCAGAATGCCCGCCGCAGTCCCACTATAGGTCGATGATTGCATCCATTATAAATATTTAAAAAAATTCCAGTATCTATACCGCCAATTTTAGACACTATAACTTTCACGTAAACCAATTAATTTAAACGGATTGGGATTTTTTTAGCAAAGACATGTAGCAGGATGCATTTTGGCTTAAATTTGACATTTGATTTTAAAAAATTTTTTACTGGACATATTTAACCACTTCCGCGCCGCCCTATAGTAGAAATACTGCTACAGGTTGCCATGGGTGCGTAAAATTACGCGTGTGTGTGTATGTGTATATATATATATATATATATATATATATATATATATATATATATATATACACAGTGAGGAACAGTATTTGAACACCCTGCGATTTTGCAAGTTCTCCCACTTAGAAATCATGGAGGGGTCTGAAATTCACATTGTAGGTTCATTCCCACTCTGAGAGACAGAATTTAACCACTTGCCTTCCTGAGGATTTACCCCCCTTAATGACCAGGCCTCTTTTTGCTGATCAGCATGTCAGGAGTTGACGGGACTGACAGAAAGCACAGCTGCAGTGATTGCCGCTAATCGCCGGGACAAGGCGACTGACACCCGCGAACGGCGGTACGGGTAGGGCGGGCACGCGCCTCGCGTGCCCCCTACCTGTTTTGCAAACGCACGTTTTAAAACGTGGTTTTGCCCAGCCATGTCGACCTGCTACCATATTTCTACAGTGGCTGGTCGGCAAGAAGTTAAAAAAAAATTCAGGAAATCACATTGTATGATTTTTAAAGAATTTATTTGTCTTGCACTGCTGAACATAAGTATTTGAACACCTGAGAAAATCAGTGTTAATATTTGGTACAGAAGCCTTTGTTTGCAATTACAGAGGTCAAACGTTTCCTGTAGTTCTTGACCAGGTTTGCACACACTGCAACAGGGATTTTGGCCCACTCCTCCACACAGATCTCCTCTAGATCTGTCAGGTTTCAGGGCTGTCGCTGAGCAACACAGAGTTTCAGCTCCCTCCAAAGATGTTCTATTGGATTTAGGTCTGGAGATTGGCTAGGCCACTCCAGAACCTTGATATGCTTCTTACAGAGCCACTCCTTGGTTATCCTGGCTGTGTGCTTCGGGTCGTTGTCATGTTGGAAGACCCAGCCACGACCCATCTTCAATGCTCTGACTGAGGGAAGGAGGCTGTTGCTCAAAATCTCATAATAAATGGCCCCATTCATCCTCTCTTTAATACAGTGCAGTCGTCCTGTCCCCTTCGCAGAAAAGCACCCCCAAAGCATGATGTTGCCACCCCCATGCTTCACAGTAGGGATGTGTTCTTGGGATGCAACTCATCCTTCTTTTTGCTCCAAACACGACGAGTGAAGTTTAGACCAAAAAGTTCTACTTTGGTCTCATCTGATCACATGACTTTCTCCCATGCCTCCTCTGGATCATCCAGATGGTCACTGGCAAACTTCAGACGGGCCTGGACATGTGATGACTTGAGCAGGGGAACCTTCCGTGCAATGCATGATTTGAAACCATGACGGCGTAGTGTTCTACTGACAGTGACCTTTGAAACTGTGGTTCCAGCTCTCTTCATGTCATTGACCAGCTCCTCCCTTGTAGTTCTGGGCTGATTCCTCACCTTTCTTATCAGTGATACCCCACGAGGTGAGCTCTTGCATGGAGCCCCTGTCCGAGGGACACCGACAGTTGTCTTTAGCCTCTTCTATTTTCTAACAATTGCTCCAACAG